TTCATGCTGCTTTTTCTCTGGCGTCCCATTCACCCCATGTATCTGTGGTGATGAATAAAGTTATTATTATTATTATATACCAAGGGTGACAGAGGGCACCCTTGTCGCACTCCTCGGGAAACGGGGAAGGCGCAAGGAGCCAACCATTAACCAGAAGTTGGCTGGTCAGTCCGCTATATAATGACCTGAGAAGGCTGACAAAATCTGAAGGAAAACCAAGAGCAGCTAAGACTTCGAACAGAAAATGGTGTTCGACCCGGTCAAAGGCCTTGGCCTAGTCAAGCGAAACAAAAAACCCCGACGCCCTGGTGGAGTGGGCGTACGTGAAAGTGTCACGGGTGAGATTCAGCGAGGAAAAAAATGCTGCGGTCAGGTACAGAGCATGTCTGGGCTATGCTTACTATGTACGGTAGGACCGACCTAAGGCGCGAAGCTAACAGAGATGCTACGAGCTTATAGCCCACGTTAAAGAGTGTGATAAATCTCCATGCTGCAGAGTCGGACGGTGATCCGCCTTTGGGCAGAAGAACCACATGGCCGCAGCGGAAAAAAGGATTGACTTCTCCACTCTCTAGGAATTGGTTCACGATCTGGACAAGAGGACCTGCGAGGATGTTCCAGAACGCCACGCAAAACGCCGCTGGTAAGCCATCGGGCCCGGGAGCTGACCCGACTTTCATTGCCTGGAGGAGTTCAAACAATTCCTCACGATAGCTGGGCGCGTTAAAGTGCTATTCACGGAGTCAGGACAAGTAGGCAAGTTACCGCAGAAGAGGCGAACCTGTTCCATAAAATTCTGCACAGACACGGTGGTCTCTGAACGAAACAGAGTGGAGAAAAACCGATGGAAAAACTCGCTGATATCACGAGGGTCCTCCGAAATGTTTCAATCTGCGAGGCGGACGTTCGGGACGAACGACAGTTTGTCTTCTCCGGCGCGTAAGGTGCGGAGGCATCGCAGCACTTCCGGATTGTCTGAGGGCTGACCTTGGAGCTGTTGTGTCGCAGTGCTTCGGCAGGATGTGTGCAGAAGATGTTGATAGCGGTCGCGAAGGACTGTACGGTGCTCGGACATCAAGTGGGTGCATCCCCCCCACGTTGCACGGCGCGTATGCGACGGATAGTCTCGTTGAGGGTCTGTGTCACTCTGCGCCGAAACAGCTTCCCTGAAATCGTTGCCTGAAAACGGCAAACGGATTGAACAACCTCCCACCGCGCAGGTGACACTGGCTCGGTTAGCAGTGACGTTTGGATTGAGTGGCGAAGGCTGGAGAGAGCTAATTCATCTCTCAGGAGCGAGGTGTCCGAACGCCACGTGTCGCCGCGCGGGTGCAAAAAAACCGAACGAGTCAAAAACTGTGGACACAGGCCGATGATCCGAAACGTAGCCTGCGGCTGCGGGAAAGGAGAGGACGGCGCATCGAACGAGACGTGACGCGAGAGAGGGCGGCACGTAGACGTGATCTAGGCGGCTCGACGAAGTGCCGCGTGACCACGTGGCCACGTACAAGGAGCCATGCAACTCAAGCCACACGTCGCGCAGACTGTGGATGCCGAGCAACCGGACTAGTTCACGGGCGTTTGAGGTGGAACGCCCACAACCCGGGCCGCGAACATCTCAGGCAGAGTTAACTACACAATTAAAATTTCCGCAAAGATAGAAAAACCCGTCCTCAGGCACATACTACATCAGGTTTTTGAAAAAGACGCAAGACGCCGTGTGGTGGTTAGGCGCGTAAACGCTGATCGCGCTGAATTCGGCGTTGCCAACAAAAAAACTGTATACTAGGACTCGTCCACCAGGATCACCCGTTGAAAAAGCTCCTCGCAAAAAGGCACGGCGGAAAATTAAAACTCCAACGCCGCACGATCGTGACGAGGCAAAAGAAAAATAACAGGGGATCGAAAAGCGTTCTTTGAACTTCTTTACATCCTGAGCAGAAAAAAAAATTTGTGTCTTGTAGAAAAAGCAAATCGCAGTGCTGTGACTGTGCGAAGTGATTTACTTCCCTCTGCGTATCAGGACTGCGGAAACCTTGCACATTTAGAGTGATAACGTGCAAGCCTATTATGAAAGGGGAGTAAAGAAAACTGTAACATTGTCCGCCGACAAGTTAGAAAACGAGAGGGTCGGAACTGTCGGACTCATTTGTGCTGAGTCCGCGACGCTTCTTCACTGCGTTCTCGGCGTGTGGTGTCTCTTGTCCACTGCTGGCTGTTGAAAGGCCGCCTTTGACGTCGGAGCGAGACCAGGCCATCGTATCGTCATCGGTGGAATCTTCGGCGGGCGCCGGGTCCACGTTTGGGTCACCCATGGCAAGAACGCCAGACGCCGAAGCCGCATTCGGGTCGCTCGGGGTTGGAGATGTCGACGACGGGTCTAGGTTCGCCGTGCACGTGGGGTGAGACGCCGGGCCTGCTGGCATGGGGGGCGGCTTTCCCTGGCGAGGAGCCACGTTGGCCGTCTCGTCGATGACAAGGCGGTCTGAATCTGAGCTCAGGGCGTCGGAGCCCACGTCAGGGGAGCCCAGGGTAGCGGCCGCATCTGAGGGGGCGTCCTGGATTTGGGCGCTTGCAGTAGCCTCCACCGACGATGAACTAGGTGCTGAGTCCCGAACAGGCGGGGGAGGGTCGCGGTGTGCGACAGAAGGGTCGGAGTCTTCCTGAAGATGAACAGGTGGGCGTGCGGCTCCTGGTGTAGGCAAGGCCGGCCAAAGGTCCTGGGACGAGTGCGTTGCCGCAGCTTACGACTTCCGCTGTGTGCAGTCGATCGTTGCGTGGACGTGACCGCACCGAAGACAAGGGGTGGTGCACCCTGCGGTGGGGTGACCAAAAACACCGCACCAGTCGCAGCGTGGGGTCTTGCAGGCCGGGCCAATATGTCCCCCTTGCCAGATGACGGACTGGCAGCACAACACTTTGATCTTAGCCAAAAGGCCGAGAAGCGTTCCCAGTATTCCCTACGGATCCCCAATATAATAATAATAATAATAATAGTTTTATTTCTCATCAATGATGAAGGGGAGGCCGGAGACAAAAGCTGCAAAGGAACAGCTTGACGAGTCTCCGGACCCCTACAGTGGCAAGACAGACGGCAGCAAGAACAACGAACAAGTTATAAAACAGGGAAGGGAAATAAAGATAGAAATACAGTGGCTTGACAGTCATTCATGATTACATTTTTAGCATGGACAGTAAAAATTTCACATGTATTCAGTTAAGTAAGTTGAGTAAAAACAGTAGGGTGTGTTTGAGCATTTGTTTACCATAATTTGTTCTGTGAGGGATCATCTTCCAATACTCAGTGTGACGAGTGGGATACGCCTGAATATTTTTGGTCAGTGCTGAAAGTTCAGCTAGAAAGCGATAATTCCTTTTTTTCTTCGTTTTTAAAACTAACGCTCAACCTGTAATTATATAAATTATGTGCAGTAATAATTGCAAAGTGCGTAAAGAAGTCTGCAGTATGAGAGTCATACGGAGCGTTACATGTAATTTTGATTATTTTAATTTAAAGTAAAAATATCTTACCTAAATTTGTTGAACTGGTCGTGCCCCATACGAGGTGACAATAACTTACGTATGAGTAGAAAAAGGAGTTGTATATAAGTAGTCGCACAGAAATTGGCAAGAGAGAGCGATTTTGATTAACCAACCCGACGACACAAGATAACTTACTGATAACGTGATTTACGTGGCAGTCCCACGACATGTTTTCAAAAAAAAAAAGAACGCCGACCGTTTGAGAAGAACACACAATGTCAATAGGTGACGCGTTTAAGATAAGGCTAGTATTGTACAAAACTTCTTTATATTTAGGACGAAATATAATGGCTTTCGTTTTGCTTGTGTTAATTTTCAGCGAGTTTTCATTTGCCCATGCATTTAATTTTGATAATGTTTTATTTGCAGGATTGATAAGTAAGTTTGGCTCGTCGGCAGAAAAAAAAATAAGCTCGTATCGTCAGCATACGTCACAAGTTTAGCTTCTTTATCAATGTTAACTATATCATTCACATATATGTTGAATAGGAGCGGACCTAATATACTACCCCGGGGAACACCGGAAGCAATTGGTTTGACCCAAAGAAGAAAAACCACTTAAATGCACATATTGGTGTCTATGTTTTAAGTATGAACTCAAAAGCGTCAACACGACCGCGAAAACCATAACGTTGAAGTTTTTGAAGTAGGATACTATGGTTTAAACAATCGAAGGCTTTGGTGAAATCTATAAATATTCCTACAACTAGCTTTCTATTCTAAAAGTTCTCCAAAATAAATTCTTTTTGTACTAAAAGTGCTGTTTCCATGGAAAGATGTTTTCTAAAGCTCAATTATGCAGAGTTTAGCACGCCACGCCTATCAGAAAATGAACTTAATCGGTTATGCAATATTTTTTCGAAAACTTTAGAAAAGGCAGGTAAAATAGAAATAGAACGATAATTGCCCATGTCATTTGTAACACCTTTTTTTATGTATCACTGATACTTCGGCTAATTGCATTCTTTTTGGGAATACACCTGTCTCGATAGCAATATTAAAAAATATGTGTTAGTGGTGGGGATCCGTAGGCGGCTCTACCCCGTTCGGATCGTGTGCTCCATTCCGGATCTGGTCAACTGATCCCGGCGCGCTCCAAAGCGCCCAGTGGAATTCGCCATAACTTAACCGGAACCACAAGCAGCTTATGCTTAATGCCGCTAGGAGCGCTAGCTGTCACTGGCCTATCTGGGCCGCTGGAGCCTATGGGAGTGTCCGCTCTTTACCTTGCGTTAATTACTCTCTTCTACTTCAGGTGCTAGAGTCTCATTTTAGATTGAAATATTTGTTCCCGAAGGAACTGGGCCGATCCCTGCTCTAGTGCAATACAGGGCCGACCCTGGCAGGTTCCGGGCAAGCCCGGAGTACCCCACCTGGTTGTAAAAATAAAGTTAATATCGAGGACCCATATAGGGCCCCTATCAGATATTAAGCTGATAAGAACAGATACTGGAAAGAAAAGTTTATTTACATATTTACAAAGATCTTGGCACAACAGCCACACCTCTGACAAGAGTGCTAAGATTTGGTGGCACGCAGGCCACACTTCACCACTGATTTGTGTCACATTCCGTGCAGAACCGGAGTAGGCCGCAGCAAAATTCTGTTGTTATTAACGTGGAAAAACCGCGAGTGCCACCGTCTCAGGAACTCTTGCCCCCCAAGCGTCCACAGTTGTGTCTCCAGATAGTCCGCAGCTTTCTCTCTTAAAGTTCGAAGCATGGGGAACAGAGGCCTAAACCGGCGGCGTTGGACCACGGCGCGACACCTAAACTCCCACAAGACTTCGCGCGTTAAAATTTCTAAAAGTCTAGCGAAACGGTTGGGTCGTCTCTGCGTGAGCAGGCGCACCCCGAAGGCCCGTGCCACTAGTGTCCAGAACGTCCTGGCGACAACACAGCCGACGAGGGCATGCTCATTGGATTCGATAGAAGGGCAGTTGGGGCAGCTGTCGGTAGCGGCAACTCCCCAGTTTGCTAGTCGGTCTCTCGTTGGTAGGACCCCCCACCCAAATTTCCAGCCAGTATCGGCTGCCTGCGCAGGGACGTCCGTAGAAACAAGGCTCTCCCAGGACACCTGGGAGCTACGCGACTGGTGCGCCAGAGACACCTCTGAGGCACAAAGCGACTCGCAAGCACGGGATACTGGTAGCTGTTGAATGTGAGCGCCGGGTAACTCTTGGGTCACCCGGCGCTGCGTCGCAACGACCGCAACGTAATGCGGCAGAGGTGTCTCCGCCGCCGGAGCCAGGTTCCCCAGTCCCCGAGGCACGAGCGTCCGGCGCAAATGACCCAACCAGTACAGCATTAGAGTACGGCCGATATAGTCTACGTCCTCCAAGATATCTAACACGCAGCGGAGGGCCAATACCTGCGCAAACGTACTGAGACACGGAATGCTCAGGCCGCCACTGGACCGCGGTAGACGCAGCGCCGGTCTGGCAACGAGCTCAGTCTTCCCTTGCCATACAAAAGAAAACAATAAAGAGGTCATACGTCGGGTAAAAACAGCAGGAGGAAGTGCCACCCGCGACACGTACCAGAGCTTGGCGCAGATTACACTTTTGATCAAAAAAGCTTTGTCACTAAGCGATAATTCGAACTCTGACGCCAGCCGGACTTGTGTTCGAGCTTCACCGAAGACCTCATCCCAAGCCAGGGGTGACACTCCCTCGCGCGAGAAAGGTACGCCTAGTACATGAACAGTTTGGACAAACGGTATAACACCAAGTGAAGAACGCGGGAACGAACCAAAAGACAAAGCTTGGCTTTTCCTGGGGTTCAATTGAGCCCCAGACAGCGCGGAGTAGTTTGAAAAGATACGATCTACTGCCAGAAAACTGTCACTGTCGCGCAAAAATAAAGAAACATCATCAGCATACGCTGAGACAGAAACTGTACTTAGCCCCGGAAGCGGGAAACCCCGAACATTTTCGCTTGTGTGAATTCTACGAAGCAAAGGATCGATACACAAAACAAAAAGCAGTGGCGATAACGGGCAGCCCTGACGCACTCCTCTCGTTACGGGGAAAGCCGCTGTCAGGCGCCCGTTTACTAAAAGCTCACTAGACATGTTTGAGTACAAACTTTCTAACAAATTTATAAACAGACCAGAAAATCTAAACCTAGCTAAGACACAAAAGAGGTAATTGTGCTCAACTCTGTCAAAAGCTTTGGCTTGATCAAGAGAAATGAAACAACCGTTAAGAGATCTTGAACACGCGTATGCAAAAAGGTCCCTCGTTAAAGTTAAAGAAGAAAAGATCGTGCGCCCGGGGACGCTGCACGTCTGAAACGGACTAATGATCACGGGCAAAATATCGCGAAGTCGCTTACTTAACAGACTGGTTAGTATCTTGTAATCCGCGTTTAATAGCGTGATTGGCCGCCACGATTGAGGATCGGAGCCAGAAACTCCCGTCTTAGGGATTAAAATAACTCGTCCAATTTTAAAGGAATTGGGGGCGTAGCCCGAAACTAGGAATGTATTAATAACCTTGATTAGCGCGTCGCCCAAAACATCCCAAAACTTGGAGTAAAATTCCGTAGGCAAGCCATCCGGACCCGGGGCCGAGCCGGTCTTCATGGCACGCAAAACGTCCACCACCTCCTGACGGGTGGCGGGACGCACCAACCTCTCGCTCATCTCAGTCGGAACGTCGGGGAGGTCCCCACAAAACTGACTTACGCCCGCGGCAAATTCACAAGGGGTATCGCTTTGAGCTGAAGCGTACAAGCGAGAGAAATACTCCCGGAAAACGGCGTCTATGTCATCCTGCCTGGATGACACACTGCCGTCCGGCAGGACCACCTCCGAAACCCGCGTAGAGGCCCCGCCCCTCCCACCAGACACGCGCAAATACCTCAGAACCTCGGGGTCGGACACAGGTCTGCCCCTCAGAAATTGGGCACTGGCGGTTCGAGAGTTGTACCTAAGTACACGGCTGTAGCGCGCCCGAAGCACGCTCAGGTACTCTTGCATGAGCAAGGTCCCTGTCCCACCCCGCTGAACAATGCGCATCCGCCTTATCAGGTCGTTCAGAGTTGCGGTTTGGCGAGCTCTACGGCTTCTGCCAGCCGAGGCCAGCAAGGCCTGCCAGGCGGCTTTCAGGCCGTCCCACTGGGTGGGGTCGAAGGGTTGTTGACTCAGAGTTTCTGCGATGCTGCTACGCAGTTCAGCAACGGAAGACGGATCCCGGAGGAGGTTCACGTCCATGCGCCACAGGGCGCTTCTTCCAGCCCGGTACTCGGGAACCGCCAGTGCCACGAGCAGTGCGCGGTGGTCTGAGATAAACCGCGTGCCAGGCGGGAGGGGCACGATCTCGCACCGGGTCACAGGGAACGGGAAGTTCGCGGGGAGGTAAGCCCTATCCAGACGGCTGTAGGAGCCACGACGCGCCCAGGTGTACCCAAAGACGTTAGGGTTTTTAACCTCCCAGGCGTCCACTAACTGAAACTGACGAATAAGGCGGTCTAATTCTTTTGCGTTCCATGTCGAGCGGCCCCAGCCCCGCCCCTGGACGTCTTGGAAAGAATTAATGACGCAGTTGAAATCCCCGAGAAGAATAAAAGGATGGCCCTCTAAAAGAAACACGTCTAGCGATGCGAAAAAGGAATGTGAAAACGCTGGTTGAGCAGGCGCATAAACGTTGATAACGCGTACCGGTTGCGAACCGAGATAAAGATCGAGACAGATAACGCGGCCGTCTAGGTCGAAAGTGCAAAAACTACTGGTGAATAAGCACGGTCGAAAAAAAATCACGCCCACACCCGTGCAGCGCGACGAACTGTAAGAAAAATAACAAGGAAAAGAAAAACGAGCTTTAAAATCTTTGACATCGCGAGCACCGTAGAAGTTAGTTTCTTGTACAAAAAGAAGGTCACAGCCTAAACCACGGGCGAAATGAACAACTTCACGTTGCTTATCCTCATTCCGGAAACCCTGGACGTTGAGGGATAAGATGCGAAGGGCCATTACAAAGAGAAAAAACACAAACATGGTCGAAAGAAAAAGACTGGAACGCGACATAGAATTAGTGACGAGTAAGGCCTCTTAGTTACGGGGGTTGGCGTCCAATGACGGGACGGTCTATCAAACTCAGACGTCGAACCTTTTTCTTCGTACCCGTCAAGCGTATGGGGCCAGGTCCAGAGTCTGACGAGGAGGGGGGGCCTCTTTTGGCTGCTTGGTCCAGCACCGGGAAGCTGACGGAGTCGCTCTCTGACGGCGACGACTCCATGCTTTCCGTGTTGTCGGTGGCAGATTCCACGGGAGTTCGTGGCCTCACGCCTGGGTCGCTTGTCGAGGAGGAGGCAGTGGCTACTCCGGTTTGGGCTTCTGGGCTTGCGGGCGACTCACTTTCTGCCGACTCGTCGATGACAAGGGGGGGGAGGGACTCCGCTTCCGAGTTGGGGTCGTCGCGCCCGCTGGCCTCCGAAGGCGCAGCTGGTGGTACCTGGGGAGCGTCCGGTTGGGTCACGCCGGCGGTCGGGTGGGTCTCTGCAGGCTGGGGTGGAGCACCTGGAGTGCTGTCGGGCGGGTCGGGTGCCGTCAGTGGAGGGGGCCTAGGATCCGAAGGACCCTCGTCACGAATCACTGCCGAGTAACTCCGGCGCTGCGTGCAATCCGTGGTGGCGTGGTTGTGACCGCAACGCTTGCACGGGGCATTACAGCCGTCAGTGCTATGGCCGAAGACGCCGCACCGGTCGCAGCGTGGTGTGCGACAAGCGGCTCCAAAGTGGCCCTCCAGGCCGCAGCGGGCACAGACTTTCTTCATTCCTCGGTATTCGCACATCACACGGTGCCCTCCTACGCTGACGAAGTTCGGTACGGGCGTCTTCATCTCCATGCGGAGGACTCGCGTGCCGGTGAAAAGCTTTGGCCGATCTTTGTAGGTCAGGTGGGAAATGGCGAGCACCTTCCCGTAAGAACTGAAGACTGCTTGGAGGGCGTCGTCGGGGACGTAGGGAGGGAGCCGGAAGACCGTCACGTGGATGATACGCGGTCCCACTTGTTCGAGCGGGACCACGACGTTTCGAAGCAGCAGGTGGCCCTGCGCTACCATCTTGTCTGCAGCTGCCGTCGAACCGACTGCAGCCAGGAACTTCATTGCACCGAAGTGTTGCAAGTGCGTCAAACTGTCCTCACCAACGAGGCCATACAAGCTGTCGATTATTTCATCAACAGGAACTTCGGCGGGTGCCGAGAACACGAAAGACTGAGCCTTCGGCGGGACCTGGGATGACGGCGGCATCTTCCGTGGCAGTAGGGTGGGGCCCCGGTGACGCGCGACTGAGGGACGCGGGCCACAGGGAGACGATTCTTGCGCAGAAACTGTCGACGAACTCGAAACTCGATCGTAGCCAAAAGGCCGAGAAGCGATGCCCAAAAATGATGTCTTTTTTCGAACCCACGTCAGACGCGAAATCGACATACTCGGTGGGGAGGTAAGTGAACAGGAAACTAGCACGCCTCCAATAATGGGTAAGGCCCCGAGTTTTACAAGCATTTGTGTAGAATACGGTGTTATTTCGATCTCTTACAGCGAAGCTGAAATATAGAGAACCGCAGATTGAATATTGAAACTAAAGCAAATGTGCAGGCGAGCTGGTCAATAATCCCCGCTCCCACTCAGGGGGAGGGGTAGGGAGACGTGCCGTCATTTCCAATGCGTTTCCCTCCCCTCTCACAAGGAGTTTAAAAGGCGTGGATAGGGCATGACATAATTCGTATGAAGCCTAGTCATAAAAAAAACGAGAGGCCTAGCGCAAGTGACGTGACAACAATATTTTTTTTTTTTTTTTTTTGCGGGGCAGCTGGGCCAGCTGGGCGGCAAAACGAAAGTGTGTATAGCGTCGCGCGTCGCCGTGATGAGGCTTTCCTGTGAGAGCGGCTGCAAAAATCGCACCGTTTGGTCTTCCGCGGGCAGTTTGTTTCACCGGTATGGCCCCTGTACATTACATTAGGAACAATGAGATAGACACTGAAGACACTGGACATATCCTTAGCACATTCCGGCACTGCTTTTACCAACGAGCTTCCAGATGAATAGGACTGACATCATCTGCCGATTGTCTTGTTTGAAGCACAAATCCCAGCATCCAAGCACTGGCCATGCCCAATTTGTTAGAAACCAGAAATTGTAAACAGCATTCTCACGTGATAATCTTTCATTAATTGGGGCGATGGGGGCATTCTCTCGCAGCCCTGGTCACACCATGTGCCCTTGTGACGTGGAATTGCTTTGGATACACAAACTGGAACAGTACGGTCAGACTTTTCAATGGGGACCTGCTAAGAAAAACATGCAGTTACGTAATAAATTTGTTTGAGGCACTAGCCATCAGGTCCCTATTTGAATGCCATGCACAGCTGTATGGTGTTAAGCGCCGTTCACACATATCCAACCGGGTAAGACCGAGAGAGACCACACCGGTTTTTAAGCCTCTTGCGACGTCTTATAGACCAGCTCCGCTGCAGCGCATTTAGTCCTAAGACGTCGCAAGAGGCTTAAGAGGATATAGCAGTAGAATTTCATCTCCGATAGTAACTTTTTCAAAATCCAAATGGCACTGGGGGTGAAGCCTTTCCACTCAACTGGTTACGCGATATAGTTCTACTTCCAAATAAAAATAAAGAAAAAGCTCGACTTCTTGTACCGGTTATCAGCGGACGCTTGACCCTGAAAGCCCCCCACTTGAAGGAACCATGAAATGACCTTTTTACTTTTGCCAGATAACGTTTCCATTAAACTGTCAATGTTTACTGAATACCGAACAGGCATCCGTTTTCGTCTCGGTTTATTAACTTCTACACCAAAAATTAATGAAATATCGACTTTTTCTTTCTCTCCAAATGACCGCAAAACAAGCCGCGCCGTAATTTTGACGGTCGTGACGTACCCTGTTTCCGGAACCGGAAGTTCTCTCGGCAGTAGGACAATGGAAGTTGGCGGCGTGGAGTTAGCGGTGTGCCGGTAGGTTTTACTGAGCTGATGGCGCCGATGTCACCGATGTATTTTCTGAATCGGTGCCTCTCATCGCCATGATAGCCATGGACACATCGCAGCTGAGCGAGATTCAATTAGATATGTTGCGCTACAGCGACAGTATGGGACTAGTCCCATACGCCGGTATGCCTGTTGGGAAGTGCGGCGAGTCTTCCGGTGAAGACTCCAGAAGTCAACCCAACTGTCACTGTTGGTAAAAGGCGGCTTGTGTCAGTCGTTTGCAAAGCGACGTAGATAGAGGCAAATGGCCGCGGCGTTTTTCGCGGCCTCAGAGATGCAGGAGCGAGCCGACGTTAAAAAAAAGATACGTTTGAACTACGAGAGTGTCAGCAAGAGGCACGTAAATCCCTGCTCAAACTCGTTGCGGACGCGCGCGTTTGATGGAAGTGCTGTATTCGAGCTGTTGGTAAGCGCTTCGGGACCGATCTTTTACGATTGCAACTCGATACTGACGCGACACTCGGCAAAGGAAGGTGGTTTGACCGGCATCGCACGTAGCTGCCACGAACTGTTATAGCTCGACAGTGACATCCAGTTTGTCAGAATAAAAATGTCATACTAATAACAAACTGTACATACCGTGTTACGAAGGTAATCCATATGGCGTTTATTTGAGGTATCACACAAAACAAGAAAATAGAATTGACGATAGTCCCTTTTCGACGACAGTGTTCGTCAACACTGCCTCGGAAAACAAGGGGAAGAGATTGAGACCTTACCGCTTAATCTAAAATTGAGGTCAGCGATCAAAATACGGGAAGGATCCACGAGGGTCGCGCGGGCATATTGCATTCAGCACGCCAGCCGGTCGTGGGCAGACGGTCGTGGTCAAGCGCCGTTGAAAGCAACGCTGCGCCGGAGTTGGAGTGCCTGCTTCGGAGTGCCTGCTAGGCCTATCTGCCGAGCTCGCTTGGTCGCGGATCGGTCAGTTTATAGCCGTTCTGGCTTTTCTCGGGTGTTTGTGGATCCAGCGTTCGTGTTCGTCGTGGTCTGTTTCAAGTACTTTTTTGTTGCAGCTTGAAGTCGGGGCGCGCGAGAAAAAAGCGCGAGACACATGGACGGCAGAATCGTCCCATCCGACTTCCGAACCGACAGTCCGAACGCCGCTCCGAATTGCCGCACGCGACAGTTTGAGACACACGCTTCCGACCTTACATGCGACACGACGATCCGTTCGGCTCCGCCCAGGACCCAGCAGATCCAAGCGTTCCAGCGGACTCCGGAGGTCATCTCTGGTTCCATATTGACGGTTCAACTCGCACGAGCGAAATTACGAGCTCGTGCATTCTTTGCTGGGTCCATCTTTCTCAAATGGGTCAGTCAGCGGGATCCACGCGTCCGGCTTCCCCTCGCCTGTCCCGTTATCGCGTTCACTTCGCCCGCCAGACTCAGTGCGTCATCATGACGTTCGCGCTGGCTGCGCTGTCATTGGTTGGACGCATCCGACAATCCGTCCGCCGTGCGAAACTATCTGACGCTTTGGACGCGCACGTCGGATCGCCGATCCGACGCCTGAAATGACCAAATTTTTCGGATTGCCGGATCGGACGTCGGATCGGATGGATTTTTCGCGCATGTGTCTTGCGCTAAACACGTAGAAACATAACCGTTCCTTGATTGTCGCGGCCAAGTAACTGAGCCCAAGGCTGTCGGCCCATCGGCCCTACCGCCCCTGCTTCGTTTATCGCACGATAGATGGCGCTTGGCTCTCAGCATTATCAAATTTGGTAATTTTCGTCGCATCTCTAATTATGCTACAAACTATGAATCTGAATATTATTTAACAAAACTTTTAGGAAACATTCGCCGGCTATTTATTGTTTACGATCGCGGTGCTGGTGAGGTAGGCTCTTACCCAATAGGCGACGTGGATTCGGCTGACGTGCAGCGATTCCGCGGATGCATTGCAGTGAAAAGGCAGAGAGCTTTCGAAGGAAAGAAGGCGCAATAGAGTCCAGTTTTTTTTTAAAGTTTTATAGCGAATAATGTTTTTGGCTCCCTATTTTTTTTGTGTGTTTTTGTGTTGTTGTTTTTTTTCACACCTTTTACGACGTGCGGTGTATAAAATTCGATTTCAGAATCGTCTCGCGCGTTTTTCTGAAAAAAAAAAAAGCAGATCGCAATATTGCGCCTGGGCAAACTGCACAAACTCGCGTTGTTTGTCCGGGGAGCGAAAACCCTGAACATTCAGAGTAATCACGTGCAGGTCCAAAAAAAGAAATAAATAAAGACAAAACGGCATGGTCACGGGATAGGCTAAATGGTGTGTCTAGAGGATTCCGAGTCAAGAGGTCCAACGAGTCAAAAGATCCAACGCGTCAAAAGATCCATCATTGGACCTTCTGACTCGTTGGACCTTTTGACTCGTTGGACCTCTTGACTCGCCGTGGATCTTTTGACTCGTTGGACCTCTCGACTCGTTGGACCTCTTGACCCACATTGGATCTTTTGACTCGTGTTGGGCGAGTCAAAAGATCCAACGAGTCAAAAGATCCATTATTGGACCTTTTAACTTGCTGGACCTCTTGACTTCCTGTCCGATAACGGGGAAAAGAGGGGGGGGGGGGGGGGGGGGGGTGAAGGGCTTCGAAGAAAGTTGGAACAAAAACAGCAGGAAAAGAAAGAAAAGCCAAACAGCGATGAATGACGGCTTTTGGGTGGCTAGGAGGGGGTGACGGTCACTGCACTGCAACGAGTTGGGATCCCGCGAATAATAACAAAGCAAAAAAAAAAAAAAAAACAGAGGATGATGGGAGAAGATGATGCAGTGGCCTCGCGAACGACAGGTTTTGGCATCCTAAATCGGTGGCAACGTCACGGCGTTGTGCGTTTTCCATTTCAATCGGCTAGTGATCAACGTAATCTCTTCGTGCTGTTTGCTTGACTACCGCAGGAATTTCCCAAAAATTTTGCACGCTGTACTAGCTTGAAAGTCACTACACAAATGCACACGCGCACACTAAAAGTGCAAAGCCATGAGGCAGTCTGCGATTGATTGGACTAGCCGGTAATAGCATGCACAAAAAAGTCGACGCACGCCATGAACCTGTTTTCAGCTCGTAGCGTCGGCTGCACTGTAGCTTTAGTAGAACGTAGTCTAAACGTGGTTGATAATATTTTTTTATAATTTCGAATTGCGGTGCAAGAAATGCGGTGCAATGGTGGTGCAAGAAAAAATATCCACTTGATAGACATTATCATAAACATACTACATATTTTTAGTGGCGTGCGTGCAGTCATGTATGGCTACTGCGTGATGCACGTTAAAGACCACAGGCTTGTAGTGGTACTGCACTGTCAAAATTTCTCGTCTACAGCGTAAACAAGTGTCGCCGCGATCCTCAAAAGCAAACCGACCTGACACTGAATAAACA